TGGGTTTTGGGTTTTCCATCCCAGGGCCTCTGGAAGAGGAGATCCTGCTGACACATGCACCATTACGATACTGTACTTTTCTTTTAAGATTTTATTTATTTATTTGGGAGAGAGAGAGAGCAGGGGGAGGGGCAGACTCCCTGCTGAGCAGGGTTTGCAGGATCATGACCTGAGCCCAAGGCAAATGCTTAACCAACTGAGCCACCCAGGTGCCCCAAGATGCTGTACTTTTCAACCTGATACCTTGAGTCTAGAGAACCAGAAGGCTACACTCATTATAAATGTAACTTATTAAGATGTCTTCCCACATGCTAACATTTCAAAGCAATTTTATTAAAGATGAGAGAGTCACCCTGGCTCCAGCAATTAACAGGACTTAACGAAGATGTATTTCCTGTGAGTGCATAGCCTCTCTGCATCCGTCAGACATTTTCCACTGAACCTAAATTAAACTGTAAATGAACTGATTTGCGTCCATAAATCCAAGAGAAATGTATCGGTATAGGGTGTTTGAGATACCAGTCTCATACCCATTTCCCAACCTCATACAGTTCTCTTGTTAAACTAAAATATGACCCTTTCTACAAACTGTTTTCAATTTTATTAAACAGGGGAAAAAGGAAATCTGAATCACTTAGGTAGATATTTTATAACTCATTACAACACCTTAGGAAGAAAAAAATCTTTGATATTTGACCATCTGTCTTAGAGAAAACTAACAGGGCACTGTTAGAAAAGCACCAAAAAAGACCTAAGTTTGAGTGATTTTTGTCAATTCACCTAGACTGGTTTCCATCCAGTTCTCAGTGAAAGAACTTTTCCATTTTGACAATCAAACCAAAGAAATTTGAGCAGCAATAACTTTATCAGAAAAGGAAAGACAAGTATACTTTCATATCCACAATGTGTCACACTTTCATATATTCTTAGCTAATCCTCACCATAGTAATGTGAGATAAATATTATTTCTACTTTATAGAAAAGGAAAGTGATGATATTTAAGTCCCTTGAATGGCAGGGACCATGTTTGTTTTCTCTATATTTCCAGCACTGAGCTTGGGGCCTGGGACACAGTTCAAGAGCATGCTATATGCTTAAGAATGAATACATGATTAAAGAAAAGGAAAAGGAATTTGGAAAAAATACGCAATCCAAATTTTGCTCCAGGACCCTAACTAAAATCACTTCCTGGAACGCACTTGCACACTGCAATAATCTACCTGAGCTTCAGAGATTTGTTTTAAAGGACAGTTTATCATCTTTCCAATGTATACACCACAAGGGCATGGCGTGGTCCTATCTCACTTCTTTCCTCCCAACTCAGCACCACACCTTGCACAAGTGAGTGTTTAATGAGATAGGTGATGACAAAGGTAATGATGATGCCTTCAGCCATCACGGGAGTACAAAGAACACAAGATACCCATAGCCACCAGAAGAACTGGTCTCTGAGTCAAGTTACATCCTCTCTTGAGCCTCATTTTTTTCTCTGTACAATGGGAGTAACAAAATAAACTCAAAAGATGGTTTCCATTCATTTAATAAATATTTACTGAACCATAACCATATGTCAGGCACTATGCTAGGGGACACAGTGATGAACATAACCATCACATCCTGCCTGGAGGAGCTCAGTTTCCGTGGATGCTCTGAGACTCAGGAAAAAAGTTTTACAAACCTCAAAGGACAACACAGTTATGAGGTACTGCTCCTCCTCTGGGTTTCTTAACTTGGTTAATGACATCACCATCCACCCAACTGTCCAACTTGGGAATTGTCCTCAACTCCTCCCTCCTTTATCCTACCCACAATTCCCATAAATCACCAAGATTCTTTTGATTCTCCTTCAGAAAAGTCTGACATGTATTACTTCTCATCTAGTTTTCCATGCTTCTATTCTAAGCCCTTTGTTTCCACCTGAAAATTACGAGTCTCCTTATAATAATGATAATGGCAAGCATTTATTGATCGCTTACCATACGGCAGGCACTGTGCTAAGAGCTCTGCATACATAACACAATTTAACCCAATAAGAGAGATACTAGTACCCCTATTCTTGGAGGAGGAATATGAGGTGCAGTAACCAGCCCCAAGGCACCAGCTAGTAAGTGATAAATCTATGGCTCAAATCATGTCTATGAGAGTCTATCCTTACGTTTTAATGGATTCCTGCCTCCAGCCCCTTCCTGATTGGTCTATACTCCTTACTTTTATTCTGTTGCTGGTGTGCTCTTTGGAAACCCAAGCTGATCTGTTTCTTCTGCTTTAAGACAGCCAGTGGCTCCTCAGCATCTCCAGGTTGAGGCCTGAGGCTACAGGACACTCTGCAATATTTTTTCTCTGCTGTCTCACCCCACGAACACCCTCACTGCTCCCCAAACTCTTTGCTGACCCTCCCTGCTCTGTAAAGCATCCCTTGCCCTTTCCCTTCCAGACAGGAACCTCCTCCTATGCAGCCGCAGACCCATGTACATACATTTCAGCACTGACTGGTATGTTCCCCTCCCCCCCCTTCCTCCTCCTCCTCCTTTTCCTCCCTCTCTCTCTCACTCTCTCTCACACACATACACACAAAAACTACAACAAAAACACACCCACTACCAATCCTGAGTTCCTGGAAGGCAGGCACAGTGTATTTTCATCTGATTCTCCAGTTCCTGCCTCAGTAGCGAGTTAGTAAGTGACTAAATGAATGGCATGTGGTGGTGTCAATACCTCACAGCTCTACCCCAATAAGCAGATAAGACCTTTCCCCCAGAACACGCTAAAGAGTAGGGCAAGCTTATAGTAGCTCCTGTCCTCTTAGGCAAACTCAAGAAGATGGGATGCTTCCAGCAAAATTATTACAACTAAGATAGGTCCTCCGCTGTCTGCTGGTACCCTCTCTTGAAAGCAAATCCAATCACCTCTGAAACTGCAAAAACTAAACCAGCTCCAGACCAAAAGACCTCAGAAGAACTGCCCTCTCAGATGAGAGATGAGGTAAAGTGATACCTTCCTCCCCACCACCCTGCAATGGGCAAAGCATTCCAAAATGCAGGCTGGTAAAAACAATGACTCTAATGAACAATAGAGGATCCTGACAGAGGGAGAGTCATCAAAGAAAAAAAGCTAGAGGCAGCAAAATCTAACCCTACTCTCTGCCTCCAGGGCTATCTATAACTGGAGTCCAGGCCACAAATGGATGACAGCAACTACCTCAGGTCTCCTTGCTCCCACTCTCATCACACCTGTCTACTTTCCAAAGAGCAGCCAGATGGTGTTTTTAAACTCTATCAATGATAAGGACACACTCCTGGATAACACCCTCCAACATCTTTCTACCCACTTGAAATAAAATCCAAACTCTACCAGGAAGTCCAAGGTCCACTCCTCACCCATTTTCCCCTTCGATTGCTACATTCCTGATACAGAGGTCTTCTGTTTCTTAAAACAGGCCAACCTCCGGGCCTTTTCCTATGCTGTTTTCCCTGCGTGGAAGGCTCCTCCTCTAGCTTTTTACAGAGCTCGTTCCTTCTCAAGGCTCAGTTCAAACTTGACTTTTTAAAAGAGGCCTTTCCCGACCACTCTATCTAAAGCGTCACCCCTTTACCCACTCCATCATTCCCCATCAGGTCATCTTCTTTTTTTAAGCACCCACCACCACTAGACAATATTTTCTTCATTTATTTTCCTGTTTTTATCTTCTCCTGCATAGAGTAGAAACTCTGCTTTGTTCACCCTGTCAATATGCAGCCAGCACTCAAAAAAAATTTCCGGACTATTTGTTGACTATCAGCAAAGGAGCATCCTCGCGATGGACTATTTTGTTCTTCTGTTAGAATGAAAAAAACATCTACTTAGCCTCTACTAGGTGCTGGGCACTGTAAATGCATGATTTTCCTTTTAAAGGGGTAAAATAACCAGCTCAAGGTCACGTGGCTAATGACTAGCCGACTTCTAAATTAAATACTTGTTTGTGCAGCTCCTCAACTCCTCTCACCTTTGCCTCCCTCTCTGGGGGGAGGCACTGTCACTCTGTGGTTCACTCTCATATTGCCATAACACCAAAAGAATCAAATACTTCTAAACTGCTTTACAGTTATTAAAGCATTGTCACATTCACCCTAAGAATACAAAGCACTTGCCCAGAAAGCCATACAGCACCAGGAAGTATATTAAGCACGCCTCAAGGTTCACTATCCCCACCCTGACCCCCAGGAGTGGGGACTGGGAAGGAGTCACTGCCAATGGAGGAATGGCGTCCCTATTTCTGGTTCAGAGGGATGGGGAAGCCGTGAGTCACCCGTGAAGGCTTATGCTACCAGAAACTCTGATAAGACCTGGCTATGAGGCAACAAGCAGTGAATCACGAATCTGGAAGGCACTCGCTGATGGACGTGGAAAAGGAGGCCTCAAAAGGAAAGCAACTTGTTAAGTTCGCTCAGCAAGTAAACAGAGACGGAACCAGGGGTCTCCTCTCCCCCAGGCCCCTTTCCTCTCCACCAAAAAGGCTTCTCAAGGAGAATTCTGAGTCAGGGGGATGGAGGGAGGGCAGGGGCAGCTCATGGACTCCACAGAAGGGTCAGGAGAAGGCAGGGGTAGGACAAGGAAGGACACAAGAGTTAGAATGGGGGGGGTGGGGAGCAGAAATGAGCCAATAAGAAAAAGACGGCAGTTTCTCGAAGGTGGGTGAGGGCAGGCCTGAGAGAGGAGAAGGCGGAAGAGAACGGACTCCAGGGAGGGCCGAGGGCAGTGCAGTGAAACCAGGGTCTGAAAGGGCCTGGCAGAGAGGGGAGAGCCTGAGGGGGAAAGGCAGGAATGCGAGTCTGATGGTGGAGGAGTCCAAGGCCCCAAGAGACACTCAAGGGAGCCAGACGGGGAGGTGTCCGGAACGGCCTAGAGGGGAGTGTGACCGGGGAGAGTTCTAGGGTCGGGGCAGACCCTGGGGCGTGTCTGATGAAGGAGGAGTCCGGGCCCGGGGAGCCTAAGGAGAGTCTGAGGGGACCGGGCCGACTCACCGCGCTTGTTTTTGGTGCCGTGCTTCTTGGCGGCGGTCAGCTCCTGCTCGATCTTAGTCTCCAGGAATTCCTGCTTCTTACTTAGCATCTCCTCCGTGTCCCGCAGCCGCTGGATGGCATCCTGAGGGGTCGGGCCGCCCTTGCCGGCCTTGCCCCCTCCTGCCCCGAACAGTTTCCCGAACACCGACATGGTGGCTGCTCGCCGCGCCGGCCTGCGCCGCCCACTCCGGCTCGGCTCGGCTCGGCTCCAGCGCCCGCTCCCGGCCCCGCTGCTCCCTGCCGCCACAGGCCTCTCCGCCGCCTCCGCCCCGCAGCCGGGCCCCGCCGCGCCACCTCCCACAGGCCCCCACGCCCGGCCCGGCCGGCGTCAGAGCAATACGTCGCTGACTACAACTCCCGGTGAGCAACGCGCCGACCGTGCCTCAAATCTAATGGAAGGGGGCGCACTGCACGCCGGGAGACTATAGTCTTCCGGCTTGAGGCTCTCGTCGGCGCGTCTTTTTGGTCTAGCTAGAGTCAAAGGGCGAGGTGGCATGCTGGGAAATGTAGTCTCCTTGGAACCCGTTCTGTAGTGGTAGAAGGACAAGCAGAGAAATAACAGTATTTTTTTAAAACATTAATTAGCGCTATGCACATTCTATGATCCAGGTATTGTACAAAGTGCTTTACACGCATTATCCCATTTAATTCTCACAAAACTATGAACCTATAAACCTATAATACTGTTCCTATTTTGTAGGTGAGTAACCAAGACTCAGAGAAACTGAGTGACTGACTAGCTTGACTAGCCCTGTCTTTACATATTTTGTACCCTCTACCTAGAATGCCTTTCTATTCGCCTAACAGGTTCTTCTAAACCTAGTAGAAGCTAACAGCCTTGGCACTGGAGTGCATGGGCTCAAAACGCATCTTTATGACTTACTTGGCCAAGTTACTTCCCCTACTCTGTGTGCCTCCCTGGAGATGATAATAACAAGACCACCTCCAAGCTTATGTGAGACAGGTAATGTAAAATGCTTACTGAGCATGGCCTAGCACTGCAGGTCCTCAAAAATTTATTCCTTATCTTGGTCATCGTTATACACAATAATAATTAAACTAGGAGGAGACCCAAAACTTCCAAAGTAGTAGAAGCATTGAAGAGTTTTTTGCTCCTGCATTTTACAGGCCGCTATAGTTGTGGGGCCACATTTTATTGTTTTCCCTTGTCCTTTGCTGTCAAGAATCACTTCTCCATCCATTAACAGTAAGGCAGTGTCTAGTAGCCAATACTTGGCCCAAGCCACCATTCTAAATTTGCTGCTTCCAATCTTTTATTTGGAAGCCGTGTTACTTGTCACTTAGATTTATATGAAAGCAAAGAGTAAGCCAGTTCTGAGTGAGGGTCTGAAGTGCTCTCCAATGAAGAAAAACATAGCTTCTCAAAGCCCTTTTTTATTCCTTCCTGGACCTTCCAAATATGTGAAGTTGCTTGGGAACAGTTTCCAATAATTGAGAGCTTGACTGAATTTTTTTATTATATCACATACAAGTCTTGTCTCCTCAGACTATGATCTACATGTAGATAAAAACATGCCTCAGATTTTGTTGTTCTTATTGTAATCAATGACAATCCCAGCCTGCATATACAGGGAACAATTCCCAGAGGATGGGAGAGTTTATTTCACCCAACTTTCCAGGTTGGAAGATATTTTTCAAAGTGAGAGACATGCCAGAACTGTCAAGATTCACAGCAGCATAAATTGTGAAACTAAGTCACACTTGTGCTTGTTTTGTAATTGAGGTATTGCAATGTTTTTATCAAAATAAAAAATATAAATAAGGAGGCTTCAATCAAGCCACCTCATGGGTACAGCAATTCCTCTACATCTAAGCAATCTACCTCCTCCCCTCTTATTTAAGTCATGCTGTAATCAGACATACAGGTAGCAAAAGATTTGCTAGGTTTGAGCCATGACCCACAGAATATATGAACAGGAGACATGAGAGGCCTTACCACCACCAGTCTTATATTGCTGTGGGATAAACTGAGGATGATAGCAGAATCCCTCATGTCATAACATTGAGAGCCCAGAAAAACATCTTAGGGATATGATAACAGAACATTTAGATTTAATCTTGAGTATCAACCCCAATTAGTTGGTGTAGGCTACTCAGATTACTGGATTGAGAAGAATTTTGAGGCTGCATTAGGACTCCCTGAAAAATGTGCTGAGATCTATTTGTGATGTCTGTCGGGAGTGTGGGATAGGAAGTGGTGATATAAGGGCACGATAGCTGTGATCCTGGCTGAGAATCCAACTGCCTTGGTAGAAATTCATATGGTGGGCTGATTCAACACAGGAGAGCCCCGTTTTTTTTTTTTCTTTTTTTTTTTTTTTTTTTTTTGGTCTCTTGGGGAAATGCACAGCCTTTTCAAGCCATGACTGACTAGCATTAAAAATTATGTGAAGGGACGCCTGGGTGGCTCAGCTGGTTGAGCGTCTGCCTTCGGCTCAGGTCATGATCCTGGAGTCCTGGGATCAAGCCCTGCATCGGGCTCCCTGCTCCGCGGGGAGCCTGCTTCTCCCTCTCCCACTCCCCCTGCTTGTGTTCCCTCTCTCGCTGTGTCTCTCTCTGTCAAATAAATAAATAAAATCTTTAAAAAAAATTATGTGAAAAAAATGACCAATCATTACATGCAACAACTTGGAAGATTTTTAGATATTCTGCTGAGTGAAAGAAATCAGACACAAGCCTGTATAATTCCATTTATACAGAGTTCGAAAACAGGCAAAACTAATCTATGGTGATAGGTGTTAGAATAGTGGTGCCCTGGCTCAGTCAGAAGAACCTGTGACTCTTGATCTCTGGGTTGTGAGTTCAAGCTCCACGCTGGGTGTAGAGATTACTTAAATAAATAAACATTAAAAAAAGAATAGTGGTTATCTTCAGGGGTGGTATAGAACAAGCAGAATGATCTTTATGGGGTGCTGGACAGGTTCTATATCAAGATCTAGTGGTATTTATGTGGGTGTATACAAATTTACCTGTCTTCATAATTAAGATCACTGCCCTTTACATACCTTATGTACTTTACTAAATAAATGTTATATTGCAATTTTTAAAAAATTCTCTGGTAAAAACAGCAACAGAAGCATACAGTTTTTGTTTGCAAAATACTTTCGCATACAAAATCTCATCTTATCTCCAATCACCAAAGCCCTAAGAAATAAGCATTACTATACAATCTTCATCTTACCGTTGAAGAAACTGAGGCCCAGAGAATAGAAATTGCCCAAGGTCACATGGTTAAAGACTCTCAAACATATATTTATTTGTAACCTTCCTTAAAAATGTCAAGAAAAATTGAGTTAATAAAACTTATAATAGGTTTCAAATTATGAATAAAAAAATTCTTATGAAACTTGGTCTCAGGTAATTATACCAAATCAAATAGAGGATTTGCTGATTTTTAACTGTAAAAAAAAAGTACATCCAAGACTCCCTTCCTAATAAAAACACTCAACAAACTAGGAATAGAAAAGAACTGCTCAACCTGATAAAGAACATCTATGAAAAAACCCACAGCTGGGGCACCTGGGTGGCTCAGTCACTGAGCGTCTGCCATCGGCTCAGGTCATGATCCCAGGGTCCTGGGATTGAGCCCCGTGTCGGGCTCCCTGCTCAGCGGAAAGCCTGCTTCTCTCTCTCCCACTCCCCCTGCTTGTGTTCCCTCTCTCGCTGTGTCTCTCTCTGTCAAATAAATAAATAAAATCTGAAAAAAAAACAAAAACAAAAACACCACAGCCAACATCACACTGAATGGCGAAAGACAGAGTTTTGCCCCTAAAATCAGGAACAAGCAAGGATGGCTGCTCTCACCACTATTTGACATTGTACTGGAGATTCTAGCCAGGGCAATTAAGTGAAAAAAGAAATGAAAGACATCCAGATCAAAAAAGAAGTAAAACTATTTCTGTTTGCAGATGACATGCTCTTCTATATAGAAAACCTAAAAGAGGGTGCCTGGGGTGGCTCAGTTGGTTAGGTGTCTGCCTTCAGCTCAGGTCATGATCCCAGAGTCCTGGGATGGAGCCCCACGTCGGGCTCCCTGCTCATTGGAGAGCCTGCTTCTCCCTCTCCCCCTGCCCCTCCTCCTGCTCGTTTTCTCTCTCTCTCTCTTTCAAAATAAATAAATAAAAATCTTAAAAAAGAAAACCTAAAAGAATCCGCAAAAAACTCTTAGAGCTAAAAAAGAATTTGGCAAAGTTGTGGGATACAAGATCAACACACAAAAATCAGTTGTATATTTGGGGCACCAAATGCTCAGGTCATGATCTCAGGGTTGTGAGATCAAGTCCCACATCGGGCTCGGTCTTTTGGGCTTAGGATTCTCTCTCTCCCTCTCCCTCTGCCCCTCCCCCCACTTGCACGCTTTCTCTCTCTTTCTCAAAAATAAGGGGGAGGAACCCCTGGGTGGTGCAGTCGGTTAAGCATAGGAGTCTTGTTTTTGGCTCAGGTCCTGATCTCAGGGTGCTGGGATCGAGCCCTGCATCAGGCTCCAGAAATCTGCAAAAGTTTCTTTCTCCCTCTCTCTCTGCCTCCCCCCATGCTCTCTCTCTCTCTCTCTCTCTCTCTCTCTCTCAAATAAATAAATAAATCTTTTTAAAAATCCGTTGTAGGGGCACCTGAGTGGCTCAGAGGGTTAAGCGTCTGCCTTCAGCTCAGGTCATGATCCCAGGGTCCCGGGATCAAGCCCTGCATTGGGCTCCTGGCCCAGCAGGGAGCCTGCTTCTCCCTCTCTCTCTGCCTCTCCCCCTGCTCATGCTCTCTCTCTCTGTGTATCTCTGTGTCTCAGATGAATAAACAAACAAAAAAAAAATCTTAAAAAAAATAAAAAATAAAAATAAAAATCCGTTGTATTTCTATATATTAGCAGAGAATAATCTGAAAATAAGATTTAAAAAAAACAATTCCATTTACAATAACATCAAGAATAAAATACTTAGAAATAAATTTAACCAAGGAAATGCAAGTCTCGTACACTGATAAGTACAATACTTTGTTGAAAGAAATGAAAGAAGACCTAAATAAATGGAAACAACAGCCCATGTTCATGGATTAGAAGACTTACTACTGTTAAGGTGGCAACACTCCAAATTGATCTAGATTCAATACAATCCCTATCAAAATCTGAACTGCTTTTTTTGCAGAAAATGGATGAGCTGATTCTAAAATTCACATGGAACTGCAAGGGGTCCTGCATAACCAAAACAAAGTTGGAGGACTCACACTTTCCAATTTCAAAACTTATTATAAAGCAACAGTAATCGAAATACTGTGGTACTGGCATAAGAACAGACAT